TATGTGGTAGAAATTTTTTTGTGTTTTAAATTGTGCTGTGATTTAATTTTTAATAAATGAGACTGTGTCATGTATTATTGAATGTGGCATGTAATTATATGGGTGATCTAATTTTTTACACAAAGTTCTAATACAATAAAAGTAAAATCACAGTAAAAATTCCCAGGTACATGTACATGTATATATGAATATTGATAATAGTTTATTAACAATATATTCTGTAATAAAAAATTGAAGTGTTATTTCATTAGAAAATATTACATTACATATGTACGGTCCTTTCTCTACAGGTACTAATAGGTTTCCAGGTTGTAGGTGTCGTTCTTCATGTAGCACTAAACACTGTCCTTGCTTCTTAGCTGTGAGGGAGTGTGACCCTGACCTCTGCAGTACTTGTGGGGCAGGTACAATGTACATGTACATGTACATGTACATGTAATGTATACTGTATAACGGGAAATTTTGGAGGGAGTTAAATTTGGCAAATTGCAAAGTTTGGGTGATTTGTAAACTTTAATGTGGTGAATTTGCTGCTATGTGACATTGAGCATACGCATTTGTATTCCATATACACGTGTAGCTAAAAAATTTGGTGGAGTAAAATTTTGGAAAATTTGGCGAATTGAGGTCCATTTGACAAATGTTTAGTCTCCAATTTGATAGGGTTCCATAGAAGCATACACAGAGTTAAAATTTTGCCAAAATTTTAACCTCCAATTAACCTCTTTTGAAGTCAATTTGCCAAATTTTAACACTGCAAATTTTCTAGCTATACAGTACATGTACTGTAGGTTTTAACAAGTGATCATGTGCCATTGAGCTGGATTAAAATGATGAATTTATTTTTAAGAAGTGGCTATCAAAATGTCAAAATTTGCGAAAGTTCCCCCTTTATGTACATGTAATTACCAGCTATTACATTGAATATTAAATGTCTTACACATAGAATAATTAAAAATATCCCAGTTAAAATACATGTACATGTATTATACAATGTATTACTTTATCTCTTCCTTTTAAAGGTGATAATTTTGAGATGAAGTTCACTACGTGTAAGAACGTGTCCATACAAAGAGGTCAGAAGAAGCATCTGCTGATGACTCCATCAGATGTTGCTGGCGGGGCATCTTCTTAAAAGACGGAGCAGAGAAGAATGAATTCATCAGCAAATACTGTGGAGAGGTACATGTACATCCACTCACTATACAGTACTGCAGATAAATTATGCATCTTAAAATTACAAGTTTTATGGAACGTGTACATGCATTTCTAATTTTCAGATCTTTATCATGATTATTATAAACTAAAGCAATTTACTCTTTAGTTAATGTTTTATTATTATTATTATTATTATTTTGTAGATAATATCACAAGATGAAGCTGACAGGAGAGGGAAAGTGTATGACAAGTACATGTGTAGCTTTCTCTTTAATCTTAATAATGGTGAGGCATATAATCTAATTAGTACATACCATAGTAACTTACTACTAGAGTATTGGCAGCTATGCAGCTTCTTAAACTAATTATTGTTTCTGTGTGTGTATACATGTATATAGGTACATGGATTAACCTTTACATTGTACACAGTTATACTGTATACACATGTACATGTAGATGTACATCAACATTTACTTCTGTATCTTCATCAGTACTATTGTTGCAATTATTACTAATACATGTTCATGTATTATTATTATTTTGGTAAAAAACATAGGTACATGTACACCTCAATTTTTATAAAGAAAAATTTGTATTCATAATACCCACTGCAGGATCTTATAGTACCAGATTTATTGGCTATATACTCCTGCTTATGATTTTACTATAATTATTTTCAGTACTTTTATTTTACTTTTAGATTAGTACAGGGTCACTGGCCAAATTTCGCCAAAAATGAAAAGGAGAGAATTCTCCATTTTTGTATTTTTTCTGATACATATACACGTTCTTATGTTGCGTAGAAAGTTTGAGCTGATTTTGAACATAACT